TGCTGGGTTAGATCAATTTCCACACAAAGTCTAGCAAACTTACCTCGATTTTGCGATGTGGTTAGAGAGTCAATTTTCAAGAGTTTGCCCACTAGATTGCCAATCCTCTTCAAGGACCACACATCAAAACATTCCAATTGTAGAGCAGACACCCTAATCCAAGCAGCCATCCTAGTAATCTTAGCAGTAGCTGGGCAAAAGCCAGGACTCCATTTATGCATCACCAAATATTGCCCTGCAATAATCCAGGGCCCTCCAGTGAGAACAAAATTCAGATCATCCTCTAGCTCAAATTTCACCACAAAATAGTCATTGACTAGTTCCACCAGTTTCCATCCCCCTTTGAGACTCCATTTTTGTTGTAGCCTAGCATGAAGATAATTGTAAGTGTGTGATCTTCCCAGCAACTTAATTATCAAAGCGTTCTGCCAAGGTTTACACAATCGCTCCATAGCTCTTTTAGAGAATTGTATGCTTGGACCACGCTCCCCACGAGAAACAACAACATCAGTCTCATCATTGAGATCATCATAATCCGCCTCAAGACAGTTTACATCAATTCCCTTATTGTTGGCTAACTTGACCGTATCCATCAACTTATCTCTAAAGCTCATAGATCCAAAACCAGATCTGCCTTCCATCACAGGAGCATCAACAAATCCCGAATTCTTGATCGGAGTATGAACGGAATCATCTTCCATACCATACTCAGGCTCACGATCCTCCGACACACGAACTCGCTTCGTCAATCTGGGGCTCATAAAGGACACACCAGGCGACCCTTCCTCCATGCTCGGAGAAGGCTTGGAGAAACACAGCCAGCAACTGGCCAAGGCTTAAACCCTAGAAACCGCCGCGTACGGCAGTTCCTAGATGAAGAAGAGCGAACTTTCCTGACTCAGGAAAAAAAAGAAATCGCCGCGCGTGAGGCGCATTCTCAAAAGTTTATGGCCATAATTCTCTCTTTTAAATCGACACAATCAAAACAAACTTTATGGCCAAATTAAACGATAGAAAAAAGTTTGATTTAAAAATAAAACAACAGAAAAAAGAAAAGAAAAAAAAGGACCAACAAGGTAATAGGTACTTTTAAACTAGAATTCACACAACTCTGCAACTGTCTATCATCAAGCACCTTAAGAACGGAAAATACTCCCCTTTATTATGTAAGTAGGAGAAGTTCATGCATTTCTATTAATATAGCAGTGTAACATGTGTGTAAGTTTTTGTTTTTATGAATTGTTTTTTCATATGTGTCAAACTTTAATTTGTAGGAAAGACAAGTATCTCCTTACAGGAAAAGAGATAAGCTGTATCCCTTAAGAATTATTGTGGCAGAATTGACGTTTTTTATTTTCCTTTGCACGTGGGCAGCTGAAGAATATTGAATAATATGAACTATGAATTAATTTCTTCTGTATAGTATGAACTATGAATGGCATTTAGATTTGGATGGATAGCACAAAAAGTTGGTTTGGTGATGGACTAATGATCACCTAATTTCCCAGCAATTAAGCACCTTTTTGTTGGTATGTACGGAAGAGTCCTATTCAAGTCAGAGTTGGAGCATTAGACCCTAAGTTATGGATTTGGACTTATTTATCAATTTAAGCATGAGAATACATCGATAGCATATAATAATATACCATGAATTGGATTTAGTAAAAGCGTACTTAATCAAACTTATTATTCAATTTGCTACAACATTAGCCTCTTCGCCTGGTCAGACAGACAATATTGACCAAGTACACTTGAAAACTCACTCGTCTCACATATTCAATGCCACCCCCATTTTGACCTAGCACCATTTCCTCTCCTTCTATATAAACCCCCCTTACCTCCTCTCTTCTCACACTTGTCTCAAAACTCAAAACATCTTTTCTTAATTTGAAGCCATTTCTTGACCTAACAAAAAAGAAAGATGGAGATTGCTCCCGTTGCATACTACGACAACTTGAAGAGGTACTGGAGAAGGAGAAGGTACCAGAGGCTCAATGGTGACACCAAGAAGAAGATGAGGGTCACAAGGCTTGGCGGAGTCAAAACTACCAGAAGGATTTGGAAGCTCAGAAGCGCCATGCCAAAGCTCAGGCTGATGAAGTTTGTCTCCCCACTTAAGCTCATGACAAAGTTCCACGATGCTTACGTTGACATGATGTATCGGATTGCCGGCAACGCTGCGAGTGTCGGAAGGGTTTCGGGGAAGAAGGTTGCGAAAGCTCAAGACCAGATTTCAATGGCTTCTTGTGGGGAGGAAGTTGATGGTAGATTGGTTTTGGAGATATACAAGAGATTGGCTGCTTCTCGCGAATTATTGATTGATTATTGAAGCAAAATCAGCTTCTTCAAACATTTGTGTTATCAAATTCTTTTATAATTTTATTTCCATTGATTTGTCAGATTGGCTCTAGAGCTGTTTCTTCATTCTCTGAAGTAGTAGCTCACGGGGCATGTTGTAACTAAAAAGTTTGGCATTGTACAAATTTTGTACTCATGGGATGGGATCCTTTCGAGTACTCAAGTCATTAAGTTATTGAAAATTTTCTTATGCCACTGTAATTTTTACATTTTCATAATTTAATTACGTGTTTGGAGATAATTTTGTGATTAAAGTCAATATTAAGGTGTTGACCAAAACAAAGTCAATATTAAGGTATTGACCAAAAAAAGTCAATATTGAGGTATGTAATAAGCCTCCTCCCCTCCTATATGCATAAACCATCTCGAAGAAAATCTTCAACTGTGCGGTGTGCCCGTGTGAGTCAAAAAACATGTACAAAGCGAATGCATGCAGACGCAGTTGAGTAAAGATCTGATGGTCAGAGTTGGTGGTCGATTCTGTCCAAGAAGTGGGACCTTCTCAGACAAAAAATAAATAAATTGGCCCATACGCCTAAGGCCCGTGATATAGTGTCTCTTTTGGCCCAAGGGAGAGGAGCGCCAACAACAGGACCAAATCATGAATTTTCTAAGTGTTGGGCAATAATAATTTATTTCCTAAAAATTAATACTAAATTCCTATTTTTGTAAACATTTGCACTGTACTTAAGCTCACTCTAGTTTTGTGATGGCAATTTTCTCCGCGGGTAAGGGTTTTCGCAGAAATTCGACCCTAATGGGTTGGAGTGGAATTTTTTTGGGTATGGTGTTTGGGGAGGGGCGGGGATAGTATTTTAATCCCCAACTCGAACCCTCCCCGTTTAGAATATACATATATAAGTGATTGTGCCCACTAAATTTTATATTATAAATTTATATAATTTATACGAATTTTAAGCCACACTACTTATACATTTAGTTAAGTTTTAGTCAATATGTAAACATTCTTATATTGTCTTATACATACATATTATATATATTCATTATCTTGCCTTAATTATATATTTTTTTCTTTCAACAAAGTAGGTTTATATTGGTTTTTTCTTCCGTAATGGGCGGGTCCGGGAACTCATTCCCCAACGAAGGTGGGAATGGGGAATTCCCGATATGAATATCGTAGGTATGAAGGTGGGAATGGGGAAAAAAGTTTAATGGGGATGGGCAGGGACGGACCCACAGTGGGGTCAATGGGGTCAAACAACCCTATGGATTCCATGGAAGCAAGGTAGAAGGTCCCCTTTAATGGCTGTGTGACCTCATGAATGTCTGAAGGGGAAGGTTGCTGTCTGAGGAAGAAGAAGCTGCCATTCTATTTTTTTCTTTTTTAAACATGCTGGCCAAAACAACGTCGTTTTGGCCCAGCTTTATTATATTTTTTTTAACATGCTGGGCAAAACGGTGTCGTTTTGGCTTAGCCCCATCGAATTTTTTTTTTAAAAGACCTGGCCAAAATGATGTCGTTTTGGTCCAGGTCTTTTTAAAAAAAATTAGAACATATTTAAAATACCCCTCCCGACTTCAGCCTTTCCAAAACCCCCATTCCTAAACCCTCAAACCTAAATCCCCAATCTCCACCCCCCCAAACCTTTAACCATCTACCCCACCAAATCTTTAAGCCTTAGCTCCTCCATTGTCGCCGCTGCCTCCAAAAGCTTGACTCTGCTTCCACCACCTCACAATTCAATGATAAAAAAAAAAAATTGAACTTTTACACTATGACCCTATGAGATAAGATTCTTGGGTCCGTCCCTGGGGATGGGGATGAGGATGGGGATGTGAATGGCATACCCACCCCTTATTCGACCCATTGCCATCCCTACTATAGTTTAATAGTGGTTCCACCCTTTAGTAATCCTCACACTCAATAAGAATGTACGGAAAGTCATGCAACTTGCACCCGCACAAGGCCAAACAAAACCAAGGATCCTCCAGGTTCAGCAAAGATATAAACCCTACACTGGTATCACTGGCAGACCCATAAATTTTTTAGCAGAGGTGCAATATTGACTAAGTATGAAAAATGGTTTTTTAGAATAATCATTTTCTCAAGATAATTTTTGGTGGCTTTTATTCCTTACACATCAAATAAGAAAACTTGATTTTATAGGATTTTAGTATGAAGTATATATTGACTTAATGAGCCATCATTTTTAGCCTAAATCGTATTTTGCACTAAAACCGATTTTTCATATTTTGATTTGATGGGAGTTTGATTTTCTAGTATTTTTATTTGAATCCAAATGGGGGGTACTTCCTTATTTACATTGTAAACTTAAGTAAATGGAGTAATATAAAAATAAATGAAAGTAAAAGGACAAAGACATTTACTTAAATGTTGAAAATGGAAATAAGGTAATCTGTCCACCAATTAAGCAAATGGGCAAATTGAAACACCTTCAATGGTTTTTCCGGCGAGAGGAGGTGTTAATAGGTCCGCCACTAACTGGTATTTGTTCTTGGTATATGGAAATGTGTTGAGTATTTGTTTATGTTTTATACGTTTTTTTGTTTGTTTTTGTGATAGCCTATTATACCATGGATTGGATTTCGTATAAGAATACTTGATCAAACTTAATTATTCAATCATTAAAAGACTAGCCTTAAATTTGAAGTCAGACAGACAATATTGACCAAGTACACTTCAAAACTCACTAATCTCTCACATATCCTCTGATTCTCATTCCCGGAATAAACCATAAGAACAAGCCTTCATTCATTGGGCACCCATTTTGACTTCCCACCCAAATTCTTCTCCTCCTCCTATATATACCCTCTCCCACTTCTTCTCTTCACACACTTCTCTCAATCAAAACTCAAAAAACACAGAACTAGTATAAATCAATCGAAAATGGAGATTTTTCCGACTACGCACTACGACAACTTGAAGAGGTATTGGAGGAGGAGAAGGTACCAAAGGCTGAATGGTGACACCAAGAAGAAGATGAGAGTCACAAGGCTTGGCGGAGCCAATGGCACCAAAACTACCAGACGGGTTTGGAAGCTCAGAAGCGCCATCCCAAAGCTCAGACTGATGAAGTTTCTCTCCCCAGTTAAGCTCTTGGCAAAGTTCCACGATGCTTACGTTGACATGATGTATCGGATTGCCGGCAACGCTGCGAGTGTCGGAAGGGTTTCGGGGAAGAAGGTTGCGAAAGCTCAAGACCAGATTTCAATGGCTTCTTGTGGGGAGGAAGTTGATGGTAGATTGGTTTTGGAGATTTACAAGAGATTGGCTGCTTCTCGCCAATTATTAATTGAGAACTGAAGCACAAGCAACTTCAAATAATTGTGTGACAATATATATGCAGTTTCAATTTCAGTGTTAGCTACAAAGTTTGGAATTGTAAAAATTTTGTACTCATGTGATATATATTTTCAAGTACTTTAAGTGATTGAAATTTTTGGTATGTGCCTGGCTATGAGTTTTATATTTTCAGAATTTAATTTCATGCTAGGAGATAACTTTCAGATTAAAATCAATCATGAATGATGGATCCATTTTCTGAAATTCGAGCGCAAAGTGAATGCATTGAGTGATTGTTGTGATTGGAGAGAGAAAGGGCAACTAACAATTATAGAGAGAGACATACCAAAATTAAGAAAAAGTAGGTGCGTGCGGACTTTAATCAGATCAATTTATGACAAGTAAAAGGTAATGAAAAGCCATATTTCTCTGATGTGCCCACTGCCCACCCACCAATAATTTTGGTGTGGGTTTAAGCTTTATGCAATTGTTTGACTGTTAGCTAGCTATTTCTTATAACACACAGCTTCACTTTCAGAGGTGAATTAGTTATGAAATTCATCACCCCGAAAAAAAAATCAAAGTCTTTCTTCCGAAACTGATCAGAAGGCAACAACAAGAAGGACATATAACATGGAAGAAGAACAAGGCCCCTATCACCCTCTTCGAGATCAAGACGGCGACGCAATTTCTGCTGATGACACTCGCTTGAAGCAGCTGGGTTACAAGCAAGAACTCAGTCGTAACCTCTCGTATGAAACCTTTACCCTATCCATCCATGAATATTTACCTTCTTCTTTTTGTTTGTTTAATTTGTGGAAGCACTTTTGAATTTTCTGTGGTCCTTCTGGGTTTATACGAAAAGCACTTTTCCCACATCACAATCACATTTTTCAGTTCTAGATGAATGTATATAAGTCTTCTTCTTTTTTCACAGCTTTGGACTTTTAGTCGTTGAATATCAGTTCTGATATTTTCTGAATCCAGACAGTAATAACTAACGTGAGCATAATTTAATATGATATGATTGTTTTCCAAGAAAGTAAATGACATAATTTTAATTGGCTGTCGATGTCTCTCGACCTAAGTTTTCTGCTTACATTTTGTTTTATTATTACTTTGCTTGTCACTCAGACTCAGCGCTTGGACAGGAAAGTTGTATTTAAACATTGCTTGGGTTTCATGCAATCCTTTTAGTTTGCGTATTTTCCTGGCCGTTGTTTTTGAATACTGTTGATTCAGAAATGTCACATTGGATTGGATTGGAGAATGACTGACTTTGAATAAGATATACACTTGAACAAATATCTGAAAAGTCGACTTCTCATTTGATTTTGATTTATATCTAAAAACTAAACAGTGCAGAATTGGGACAGCCAATCAGATTTAGTATTTACAAACCAACTGATAATAAAATAAGAAACGACACGCGGATCAATCAGAACAAGCCAACGCAAGAAATTTATTTAAAATGTGCGTTTTAGTTTAATTATGGAATCTTAAACAAGTCAACAAAAATCTAAATTCTACATAATCTCATGTAAATCTTTTTTTAAGGCCTTCTATTCTTTCCCTGCTTCTTCTTGTTGTGTGCAGGGCAATTGCAAGCTTCTCGGTGACTTTCTCCATCATTTCGGTTCTGACTGGTCTCAGCACAACATATAATATGGGCCTCACCTATGGTGGGCCCGTAACTATGGTCTACGGGTGGCCCATTGTGGGCCTCCTCACACTCCTAGTGGGCCTATCAATGGCCGAGATTTGTTCCGCTTATCCAACTTCTGGTGGGCTTTACTTCTGGAGCGCCAAACTCTCTGGTAAACGCTGGGGCCCTTTGGCTGCCTGGCTCACTGGCTGGTACGTTTTTCCTTCTTTTATTTTCTAATTTTATTTATTTATTTATTTTTAATCTCTGAAAAAATATATGTTAAATGAACCATTGGTCCAAGAGCACTCGTTGGCCAATGGGGCTATTACTTTTTTATTTTTTATTTTTGCATGAACCATTGGATTGGATGGATCCCCATTCTTATTTTAGACTCAACATTGCTAATAATTTCACATATTGTATTGTGTTTGTCCATTGACTGGTATTTTCGGGATTTTATCGACTTGCGTAATCCCTATTACTTTAGTCTAATTGGAGGGTCAGCACATGGGCTACTTGGTCAATGATTCAGATTCTTCTTTCTGTGGCCGATCAATATTCATAATCCCATGTGATAATTGATACCTAAGTGACATCAGAGAATCTTATAATGCACCATAAGTCTTGCATAAAAAAATAAAATAAAATAGTGATCATAAATGTTCCATCTGTGATATTATCTTATCCCCGTAGAGGATGGCGCTATTTTGTCCTCCTCCCATATTAATTAATTAAGTAGACAGTAGGAGGGGTCAACCTTAAATGACAAAATTAACACAAAATAAAAAAATAAAAAAATTCATCTAATAATAAAATCCTTTGTATTAATTTCTATATCATTCCAAAATATTGACAACAAAGCATAGGTTGTCCATCTTCAATTCAATTTGAATTGTCATGCTTTGAAGTTTTTTTCTTAGGGTAAGATGTCATGCTTTTAGTTTTAGGTAATTAGGTTAATAATTATTAAGTTATTACAAATAAAGAAATAATTAAAAGGGTAAGTAGCAAAGTTAGGGACATGGGAGAGAAAAAAATTCATCTTTATTTTTGTAGTTTTTTTGCAAAGTAAGATAGTGAGAAGGGTCAAATTTCAGAAATACTGTATAAAAAAATCAAGGACAAACATGTAAAAAGACCAAATATGCTAAACATGAGAAGGGTCACTTGACCACTGTGAGCCTTCATTGGCTCCGCCACTGATGCCAACTCCCCTCTTGTATCATTATCGTTACCAAGGATATTTGCAACCATAAATATGAATTGGCTCTTACAGTTTCTTTCCGCGTCAATTCCACCAAAAACATAATTTAGAAGACTATCTTTATTCAGCCGATTATCAACGATAATTATGTGTTAAAGATCCAAATGACACTTGTCATAATACATCTCAAATTTGGTAAACTTAATAATATCCCTAATAAAAACAATACATGTTAATGATGTTTATGCTTATATATCTATATTTGAACTATAAAGAAAAAGAAAAACAGAAGGTAAAATTGTTAAGATACTAACCGAATGATTATGAAGTACTTATCCATAACACAATTGCCCTTCCACACAACATTATTACTATTGAACAAGTCATTTAATGGTGGCATCCCTCACAGTTCTTTATTTCTTTCTACAAGCTCTTTCTTTTTCACTCTTAGGGTTTTGTTTCATACCTTCAAAGTTTTCACTCTTAAGGTTTTGTTTCACCCTCAAAGTACTATTTATATAGATGCACATATTTTTAAAACTTATAGTTACGTGTTGCTTCATCTTTCAAGTGAAATTACATATGTTACGTCACTTTGTTTATACAAGAAAATTCAGCGTCCACACCTCACAAATACAAACCCTAAAATTGCATAAAAAACTTATGTGAAATGGGGATAGTAATGCTATTCTCAACTAAACACGCTGTATCAAGCGTAATATAACGTGATTGGTCGGGAATACTCGTTGCACCCAGGTGTTTCTCCAAGATTGGCACTTTCGCAACAATGCTGAAATAGAATCATTACATTCTATTTATTACGCAAAAAATCCAATAAAAGGCAAAAGAACGAAAAGCCATGTCAAGTCAACCAAGCCAATGTTCAAAGTCCGTAGGCCACGTAGTTGCAATCACCGCGTCAAGCTGCTTGCCTACTGGCTGCTCTGTTTGACCTTCATGCCCTCAATCAAAAGCTCTCCTTTTCTATTCTCATATGCCTATTGTATACTCGAGCTGCGTTGCCACTGACACTCTGCTTGAATCAATATTAGCCAAATTAAGGCAAATCCAATTTCTCTCTGTCCCTTAGAATTCAAGAAAAATGTTGTCTGATGGTGGTGACAGAATGGCACTACCATCTCATGTGGTCCCAAACGGCAGCGCTTCACAGGACTCCGGCCATGCCCGTCTCCATGAACTTGGCTACAAACAAGAGCTCAAGCGTGACCTCTCGTAATTTTTCCAAATTCCAATTTTTTCTTTGGTTTTGTTTTGAAAGATCTCTTCTCTTTTAAGTTGTGAGTTTTTTGGTTTATGGGTTAGCTCGTTTGGAATTGCAGGCTGCTTTCAAATTTTGCCTTTTCATTTTCAATCATATCGGTGCTTACCGGTGTGACCACTCTTTACAACACTGGACTCAAATACGGTGGTCCAGTTTCTGTTGTTTATGGATGGTTTATAGCTGGTTTTTTCACCATCTTTGTTGGGTTGTCCATGGCTGAGATTTGTTCTTCCTACCCAACTTCTGGGGGTCTATACTATTGGAGTGCCAAGCTTGCTGGCCCAAGATGGGCACCCTTTGCTTCTTGGCTCACTGGCTGGTACTTTCCTCTCCTTTCAGTTATTCCTCATTCCTGTTCACTTTTACTAACACTGTTACTCGTTTAGAATTTGATTGCCTAAAAAAGGACTAAAACTTTGGTGTTCTGTTGGGGTTATGGGATCTGGAGTGCCTAGATGAATATGTTGGTTGACTAGTTGAGCTTTATAGCTCCTGTGCATTATAGCTTTCACAGCATGTGTACCATGTTTAAGTAATCTTGCGAGTGTGAATATCTTTCATTCTTCGTTTTGCTATGCTACTATTCTAGTAATCTGTTCCAGAGCTGTATAAGGTCAGATTCTTGTCGGAATAGCTGTATAAGGTCAGATTCTTGATTGATGATGTGTAGTTCTTTAGATTAGGTTGATTTGGTTACTCACTATTTTGGTGGATATTTTTAAAACTTATAGCTACGTGTTGCTTCATCTTTGAAGTGAAATTACATATTTTACGTCACTTTGTTTATACAAGAAAATTCAGCGTCCACACCTAACAAATACGAACCCTAAAATTGCATAAAAAACTTATGTGAAACAGGGATAGTAATGCTATTCTCAGCTAAACACGCTGTATCAAGCGTAATATAACGTGATTGGTCGGGAATACTCGTTGCACCCGGGTGTTTCTCCAAAATTGGCACTTTCGCAACAATGCTGAAATAGAATCATTACATTCTATCTATTACGCAAAAAATCCAATAAAAGGCAAAAGAACGAAAAGCCATGTTAAGTCAACCAAGCCAATGTTCAAAGTCCACAGGCCACGTAGTTGCAATCACCGCGTCAAGCTGCTTGCCTACTGGCTGCTCTGTTTGACCTTCATGCCCTCAATCAAAAGCTCTCCTTTTCTATTCTCATATGCCTATTTTATACTCGAGCTGCGTTGCCACTGACACTCTGCTTGAATCAATATTAGCCAAATTAAGGCAAATCCAATTTCTCTCTGTCCCTTAGAATTCAAGAAAAATGTTGTCTGATGGTGGTGACAGAATGGCACTACCATCTCATGTGGTCCCAAACGGCAGCGCTTCACAGGACTCCGGCCATGCCCGTCTCCATGAACTTGGCTACAAACAAGAGCTCAAGCGTGACCTCTCGTAATTTTTCCAAATTCCAATTTTTTCTTTGGTTTTGTTTTGAAAGATCTCTTCTTTTTTAAGTTGTGAGTTTTTTGGTTTATGGGTTAGCTCGTTTGGAATTGCAGGCTGCTTTCAAATTTTGCCTTTTCATTTTCAATCATATCGGTGCTTACCGGTGTGACCACTCTTTACAACACTGGACTCAAATACGGTGGTCCAGTTTCTGTTGTTTATGGATGGTTTATAGCTGGTTTTTTCACCATCTTTGTTGGGTTGTCCATGGCTGAGATTTGTTCTTCCTACCCAACTTCTGGGGGTCTATACTATTGGAGTGCCAAGCTTGCTGGCCCAAGATGGGCACCCTTTGCTTCTTGGCTCACTGGCTGGTACTTTCCTCTCCTTTCAGTTATTCCTCATTCCTGTTCACTTTTACTAACACTGTTACTCGTTTAGAATTTGATTGCCTAAAAAAGGACTAAAACTTTGGTGTTCTGTTGGGGTTATGGGATCTGGAGTGCCTAGATGAATATGTTGGTTGACTAGTTGAGCTTTATAGCTCCTGTGCATTATAGCTTTCACAGCATGTGTACCATGTTTAAGTAATCTTGCGAGTGTGAATATCTTTCATTCTTCGTTTTGCTATGCTACTATTCTAGTAATCTGTTCCAGAGCTGTATAAGGTCAGATTCTTGTCAGAATAGCTGTATAAGGTCAGATTCTTGATTGATGATGTGTAGTTCTTTAGATTAGGTTGATTTGGTTACTCACTATTTTGGTGGGGTTTAACTCTAGGACATGCTCGACATGAATAGCTCTATCTGTAGATGAACTAAATTACGCATCATGACGGCGATAATGATCAATTTACTTTTGAACTGGGATGAATAAGTTTTAATAGAATTTATGTGGAATGCAAGGAGTAGGCTCTGGTGCTTCCGCTTTAGAAATTTTTTTATATAACGTTGAACTATCTTCACAAATATGTTTAAGATGCTCAACTCTTGTTCACTATACCATCTCAAGCTGGAATTATTGAAGCCTTCAAATTTTATACTGCTATTGATGCATATGCCATTTTGTCTTGTGATGTTCTCAAACGCATGGGCTAGAATGGTGAAATTATTACCTTGTTTATTCTGAGCTTAAAACTGAAATGTATATTACGTGCAACTTTAATCATAAGACGTTCCAAGTTGGTCTCTCTGCTATACTATTCTCTGATGACTGTAAATGGTTTTATGTTTTGCAGGTTCAACATAGTTGGTCAGGTAATTGTAAAAACTTATGTTGTGAAGTTTAAAATCGTTCAATATCCATTCTGAGGGTTGTTATGGATGTGATATTTCCATTATAAGCTCTAACTGCCTTGCTACCTTCCAATTGCAGTGGGCAGTCACAACGAGTGTGGATTTCTCACTTGCACAGCTGATTAACGTGATCATTCTCCTTAGCTCAGGTGGAAGAAATGGTGGTGGTACTTCGGGAGATAAATATGCAGTCATTGGTATCCATGGAGGAATTTTGTTTCTACATGCTCTCATAAACAGTCTTCCCATCTCGTACTTATCTCTCTTTGGACAGCTAGCTGCTGCATGGAATATTGTAGGTATAACGTATTTTCGAGCCCTTTTCACTTTCCTAGTTTTCAATTTATTGCTTGAGGATACCTATATCTTGGATTTCTTATCGCTATTGGAATACGTAGGTGTCTTTGTCCTTATGATTCTCATTCCCTGTGTTGCAACGGAGAGGGCAAGTGCCAAGTTTGTATTCACTCACTTCAACACTGATAATGGGGATGGAGTCAACAACAAAGTTTACATTTTTGTTCTGGGACTCTTAATGAGTCAGTATACCATAACTGGCTATGATGCATCTGCCCATATGGTAAGTTGATACCTTCATTACTTTCAACTTAATTCACTTACTTCATAAGATGAAATCTGTAAGGATGAATCCTAAGATCTCAATCAGATGCATCCTGTTTGTGGGAGTGCAAAATTATGGGATTGTCAAATGCTACATAATCTTTGTGTGTATGAAGTTGTCTTTTTTGTTTTTCGCTGAGCGAGTTGTATTTGATATTTCAACTTGAGTAATGTCATATTTGCATTAGCAATCTCATGTAAACTCTAAGCATTATGAACTAAAGTAAAGTCATGTTTGCATAATAACTATTTTGTCCATATTGTAATGATACGATCATCAAATCAAACACAAGATGTTTGGAACTTAATAACGTTTTTAGCTCTTCTCTTTGTTTGATGGCTTAATGCTTGGTCATATAATTGTAACGAAATCTCCTTCAACTTCTGTTTCTAGACAGAAGAAACCAAGAATGCTGATACAAATGGACCAAAAGGAATAATTAGTTCCATCGTGGTATCTATTATCGTTGGATGGGGTTATATACTCGGGATCACCTTTGCTGCTACTAACATCCCATACCTTTTGGATGAGACTAATGATGCTGGTGGTTATGCCATTGCTGAAATATTTTACCTAGCATTCAAGAGTAGATATGGCAGTGGAGTTGGAGGAATTATATGCCTGGGAGTCGTTGGTGTTGCCATATTCTTCTGTGGTATGAGTTCAGTTACTAGCAACTCCAGGTAAGCAAGCCTATTTTATGTCTCATACAACAAGAACCACTAGGGTCGACTTTAATCTCTCAGCTGCTCATAGTGCTTAAGTTTCTTCTCAGGATGGCTTATGCATTCTCTAGAGATGGAGCCATGCCATTTTCATCATTTTGGCATAAAGTGAATAAGCATGAAGTCCCAGTAAACGCAGTTTGGCTTTCAGCCTTGGTATCATTTTGCATGGCACTGACAGTAAGCACATCACTTGTTGCAATAAACTTGTATCTCTGTTTTTCCTGCAACTGCTAAGCATATGTTTATTTCGTCTTTGCAGTCTCTTGGAAGCCTTGTGGCATTTAATGCCATGGTATCTATAGCAACCATTGGACTGTACATTGCTTATGCCCTACCCATCTTCTTGAGGGTGACCTTGGCACACAAATCCTTTGTCCCAGGACCTTTCAACTTGGGACGCTACGGGGTCCTTGTTGGTTGGATTTCAGTGCTTTGGGTAGCAACCATCTCGGTCCTCTTCTCGTTGCCTGTTGCCTATCCAATTACTATTGAGACACTCAACTATACTCCTGTTGCAGTTGGGGGTTTGTTACTTACTACAGTTTTAGCTTGGATCTTGCGTGCTCGGCACTGGTTTAAAGGTCCTATAACCAACATAAATGAATGAACTTGTGTATATTCAGTGATTTTCATTTCTTCCAATCATCTATAGAAAAAGATTATTTTTTAAGCAAGGCATCTGCTGCAATTTACTTCTTTTTAATTATATTAAAAGCTGATGACTTAATTTGCACAAATTACCCAATGTATGATAATACTCCAGATTATACCAATGGAGTCTCATCTCACAGCATTCACAGAGATCTGGGGGAGATGGCATGCTACACGGTATGCATTGACCTCCACACCTAATAAAACACCGAATCTGCTCGTTTAACTGAAAATGGAGTATTTTCATATGCTCGTTTCAACGAGGCTTTATTGGTTTATATGGTGTGTGTGTGCGGCAAATTTTTCGTTTGATACAAAACTTTAACCAACATAAAATTTGGAAAGCACGAAATCTCATATAAAAGAAAATTGTGGGAGCAATTTTCGTCCCACAAAAATATTCGCCTAAGGATTCCTTCTTACTCTTCGCTTCTCTTTCTCCTTGCAAAACAAATCAGAGTAAAAGGACCACACTTGATTGTGTTGGCCAAAGGCCCTCCGATGCCTAAGTTAGTTTGATTGATTCATAGAGAAACAATAGCTAAAAGGGTACAGAGCTCTTGTAGGGAGAACCGGGTGGTCGGAGCCGTGTGTGGTGGCCGGAGCCTTGTGTGAGAGAGAAAGAGTTATGGCGGCAGCTAGGGTTTGTGAGAGGGCATTTCTGCAGAGTTTCAGATAGGATTTTAGACATACCTCAACCCTTGATGTAGCCATGTATTTATAGGAGCCTCGGAGGCTAGGGTTTCAGAAGAATAATTCCACATATGG